CACTTAATTAAATTAATATGAATTCTACAAACTGTATCTGATATTAATCTTTTTTAACCAGGTATCTCAAGGCTGCTGGACCCCGAAGACGTAGACGTACCCAAACCAGACGAAAAATCAATCATGACTTATGTTGCACAATTTTTGCACAAATATCCAGAACCCAAGAGTACAGGACCAGATGCTATAGCTGCCATCCAAGAAGAGTATAGTAATCTGCTGTCCTGGCTTGTTAAGAAAACTCAAACTCTGGAACACTTAGAACATACCAATTCTCTACCTCTGGACTATAACGAATATTCAAATTTCAAGTCCGAGGTGGATGCGAAAGAAAAGCTGTACAAGAAGTTGAAGTTGTTAATTGAGAGCCAAAGTTTGGTTTCTATTGCTAAAGAAAGTTGGCAGGAAGTTGTCAAATTATGGGAGAAACTGCAATTGCAGTTGCTTAGATGGTTGTGGCTATTAGATTCCAAACTTCCAGGTAAATTAATTAAATTTATTATTAGGACTTATTATTTTAGAATGTAAGGATCAATTTGGATCATGTTACAAATGCTTCATACTAAATTGCACACTAAATCGATAATATTTTTAGGCGATTTTAAATTTATTGGAGAATGGCTAGCCAAAGCGGAAAAGCTCATCTACTGCGATACAATCCCAACGATAATGAACGAAGAAACAGCCATGATAATCAGTAGAAAGTTAGAAGAACACAAATCCTTTTTTGCCGATTTGCCTACGATTCAGAAGACTTTCGTTGCGGCATGTCAAAGTCCATTAGCCAGAGAAGTGCCTTCCGAACAGTTGGAGAATATGACTGTTAGACTGAACGAGATCGGACCCAAGGCTGCTCAACGAAGAGTTAGACTTAAGTTCCTTGAACACAAAGTAATCATTTTACTTTTCACTTCTTATACAGCACCATATAATTACATTTTTTATATTTCAGTGTTGCCTTATTGCATTTTTGCAACTTACCGAAACCAAATTGAAAGTATGGACTTCCAAATATGGCCGCGTGGACGAAGTTACCCAATTGCTTGACCAATATCGAAATTTCGTGTCAAAGAATCATATCTTCCAAGAATTCAATAAGGCTTTCATAGACATGCAAGCTGTCATCGAAGAGTATAAAAGAGATGGACACATAGGTGAGTTGTTTTTAATATCAACGTTTGACGGGTTCTTAATATTTTTTTAATTTGCAGATAAGAAAGAAATTGCTGATATCGACATATTCATGCGCGACATATCCGACAGATGGAAGCACGTTTCCATGGAACTTCGTTGTGTTCAAAGCATGTTGGAAGAAGTCGTTGCCTACTGGCGCCGATGGGACACTCTGTCCGAAGAGTTTGACAGATGGCTGAACACAGCGGAAAGAGCCTTAAACCTACCAGAAGAAGAACAAATGGAATTCTTCCAAAACATCAGCCTTTGGCGAGATAACTACCAACTCCTAGGCGATACCGTAAATTTCCTGATAGCGACGTGCCAAGACCAGATATCAATAGAACTGAAAGATAGATTCCAAGTTATGACTGATAGATGGGACAAAATTTATCCCCAGGTGAACAAATTCAGCCACGCAGGTGATATTTTGCGCAACAGAAAAGACTTCAGAGCCGGATTGGAGTCTCTCTCCAACTGGTTAAGAAAAGCCGAGGATGTCTTAAACACGCCAAGTTTGGGATCGATGGAAAGAATCAGACAGCACACCAATAACTTACAGCAATTACAGGGAGAAGTAGAAGATATCGAAAGTCTTTTTAAGAACATCAGCAAAACTTTCCAAAGTTTGATTCAAGAACTGTCAAGAGACGAAGTTGAGAAAATGATGAATACTTTAAAACAAGAAAAGGAAGCTTTAGTTAAAGTTAGAGCGCTGATTCCATCACAAATCCACCTGTTCAACCAACTACTTATCCAGCAGGAAGCTCTAGAGTCAGGTCAAAGAGAAATTAATAAATGGCTAGACGATGCCGAGGGGTTGCTGAGCAGCCTTACTCTCGATGCTGATAAAGAACAGCTTAAAGAGCACGTCGATAGAATCAAGAACTTCTTTACGAGAACCTTGTATTATAAATCGATGTTAGACAGCAAGAACAAAGTTATGAATAATATTATCAAATCGGTAGACCAAGCTAGTAATCCCGACGTTGCTAAGATGACAGCTCAAATGGACCAACTCAACGACAGATTTGAATACGTGACCCAAAACGCGCAACTCTGGGAACAGAAACTCCACGAAGCCATCAGATGTTGGCACAACTTCAGCGAATGCGAAAGAATAATCTCCGGCTGGCTCAACCAAGCCGAAAAACTGACGTTAGAAAAGAGAATCGATAGCAAAGAAACCGTAGAACAGCACAAAAACTTCTTCCAATCGGTAAACGAAAGATGGATCCACGATTTAATCCAAAGCGCTCAAGACCTCTGCAGCTGTCTTCCTAAAGAGCAGCATGCCCCGATAATGTCGTCTGTCGATTATTTGCAGAACAAGTGGAAAGAAGTTCTTTCGTTCGCTCCCCTACACCTTATGAAGCTAGAGTTCCGATTGGACGAGACCACGTTTAACTATTACGTGAAAGAAATCGAAAAAGAAATCACCACCCAGAATATGCTTTTCAGCCGACAAGAAAACGTCGAAACTATCATGCGCAGGAATAAGGAATTCTTTTCTGCGAAAGGCCCTCTGGCGGAAACGCAACGCAGTTTGGAGAATTTGATTAAAATCTCGAATATCTACACCGCTAATCATCCCAAAGATCAAGCGCTTAAACAGGCCGTAGAAAAGGCCGAACAACAGTGGCACAATATGAACATCAAGATCGAGAATTTGAAACAGCAACTGGAACAGGTGCCCGAAAAATGGCAGGCCTATCACGATAAATTCGGTGAAATGTCGAAGTGGATGGACGGCGTTGATGATACGTTGAAGAATATATTGAACGATGTCCATTCTGTTGAGGAGTTTGAACGCGAAAAAGCTATTTTCCAGGTAAGTCTTTCAAACAAATTAAAAAACAACAAATAAAAACAACACAAAATGTATACCTATTAGAAAAAATAATAAAAACAAAAAAAAAAATATTAGAAACAAAAAATAATAAAAACAAAAAAGAAAATGTATTTTGCAAAGATGAAAAATATATAAATAAGTACAGGCACAGACAAAATCGTCGTGTAAATGTTTCGTAGTTATAAAAAGACGTAACAAAAAACAAAAAGCAACATAATATACAAAATAAATATAAAATAAATACAAAAGAAATACAAAAGAAATACAAAAGAAATAAAAAATTAATACAAAATAAATACAAAATAAATACCAAATAAATACAAAATAAATACAAAATAAATACAAAATAAATACAAAATAAATACAAAATAAATACAAAATAAATACAAAATAAATACAAAATAAATACAAAATAAATACAAAATAAATACAAAATAAATACAAAATAAATACAAAATAAATACAAAATAAATACAAAATAAATACAAAATAAATACAAAATAAATACAAAATAAATACAAAATAAATACAAAATAAATACAAAATAAATACAAAATAAATACAAAATAAATACAAAATAAATACAAAATAAATACAAAATAAATACAAAATAAATACAAAATAAATACAAAATAAATACAAAATAAATACAAAATAAATACAAAATAAATACAAAATAAATACAAAATAAATACAAAATAAATACAAAATAAATACAAAATAAATACAAAATAAATACAAAATAAATACAAAATAAATACAAAATAAATACAAAATAAATACAAAATAAATACAAAATAAATACAAAATAAATACAAAATAAATACAAAATAAATACAAAATAAATACAAAATAAATACAAAATAAATACAAAATAAATACAAAATAAATACAAAATAAATACAAAATAAATACAAAATAAATACAAAATAAATACAAAATAAATACAAAATAAATACAAAATAAATACAAAATAAATACAAAATAAATACAAAATAAATACAAAATAAATACAAAATAAATACAAAATAAATACAAAATAAATACAAAATAAATACAAAATAAATACAAAATAAATACAAAATAAATACAAAATAAATACAAAATAAATACAAAATAAATACAAAATAAATACAAAATAAATACAAAATAAATACAAAATAAATACAAAATAAATACAAAATAAATACAAAATAAATACAAAATAAATACAAAATAAATACAAAATAAATACAAAATAAATACAAAATAAATACAAAATAAATACAAAATAAATACAAAATAAATACAAAATAAATACAAAATAAATACAAAATAAATACAAAATAAATACAAAATAAATACAAAATAAATACAAAATAAATACAAAATAAATACAAAATAAATACAAAATAAATACAAAATAAATACAAAATAAATACAAAATAAATACAAAATAAATACAAAATAAATACAAAATAAATACAAAATAAATACAAAATAAATACAAAATAAATACAAAATAAATACAAAATAAATACAAAATAAATACAAAATAAATACAAAATAAATACAAAATAAATACAAAATAAATACAAAATAAATACAAAATAAATACAAAATAAATACAAAATAAATACAAAATAAATACAAAATAAATACAAAATAAATACAAAATAAATACAAAATAAATACAAAATAAATACAAAATAAATACAAAATAAATACAAAATAAATACAAAATAAATACAAAATAAAAAACTAAATTTATTACACAAAAAATTCAAAATAAATAGGTACAGGTACCGTACAGGCACAGGCAAAATCGGCGAATGAACTTAATGTTCCGTAGCCACCTACTCTCAAACAAAAATGCGACATTAATTCAAGGTGGGCCACAATAAATACCTTTTGGAGCGAAACGAATAATATTTTCTTCGACCGTTATTTGTGGCCTACCTTGCATATTAAACTTGTAAAAATCTATAATAATCATATGTTTTCAATTTTTCTTCAACAGAACGTTTGCAAGGAAGCAGACTCAAAACGCGAAGACATGAAGTGGCTAGTTCAAACTTTAGACTCCCTTACCTCTCACTGCCCCGAAACTCAAGCACTGCAAGAACAAAAACTCCTAGAAGCGCTCATTATTCGTTACAAAAACTTAATACCATCTTTAGAAATAACTATGGTCAAAACGGATACCTTATCCAAATGTTACACTTACAGAAGAGAAGTGAGAGAAGTGTGCCAACTGCTGAAACAAGTCCGAGAACAATCTAAGCTTCAAAGACAACCAGAGTCACTGGAAATAGTAACACAGAATATTCGTAAACAAGAAATGGCCATATCTCACCTAGACCAACAAAGACCCAATGTCATGTCTTTGTTGCAAAGAGGCAAAGAGCTAAGCAGGGACGAAAATGCTCCCAGCTTCATGCCCGAAGAGGTAAAATCTCTCGAAAGTGGTTGGACTACCACCTACGACGAAACCGTAGACACTCTTCACAAACTTATCGACACCCATCACGTATGGACCAATTTCTCCGAACAGAAGCAAGAAATCATCAGCGTCCTGCAAAAAGCAGAGCAAGACTTGCAGAAAACATCTCAAGCAGAGTACACTTCGACCGTTCTACCGACCGAACTCATCAAGAAACAAGAAATGATTATAAATTTGAGAGACGCTCAACAAGATATGCTTAACAAGTTGAACTATTTCAGCGAGAACTTGAGCAAACAAGTGCCTGAACAAAAGGCGAAATTAGACACCGAAGTGAAAGAAATCGAGCAACGTATTACGGACACGTTGTCTAACGTTCAAGAAAACGTTACCCTTTTGGAACAGTACAATACGAAGTGGAATACATTGAGCAGCACATTAGGACAGCTGCATAGCTGGACGGTACACGAAGCACCCCAGCTTCTTACTTCCATAGATGTCTATTCGATAACGCCGAAGGATAGAGTAGAAAAGACCGAGTTGTTAAAATCCGAAGTTTCCAATAAAATGAAAGTTTTACACGAACTAAACCAACAAGCCACTAATTTATTAGTAACCAACAGTCCCGATGCCCAAAAACTGAAAGGACAGATAGCCGAAATACAAGAAAAAGTAGCTCTGTTGAACCAAAATATCGAAAGCCAATCAGCTATTGTATCCGACGACTACAAAAATTGGGAAATGTATCAAGCTAATCTGCAAGAAATAACCCCGTGGATCGAAAATTCGGAAATTAAGTTACAATCTGGTTTGCAAAAACCTTCTACTTTAGAAGAAGCGATTCAGATTCAATCGCAAGCCAAGCAATTCCAAAAAGAAGTCGATCAACAACAAGACAAACTTCAAGGAGTTGCGAGCCTAACTCAAAAGATATCTATTCAAACGCACGCACCAGATGAAGTTGACTCGATACAAACGAGAGTGTCGGTCATTCAAGATACGGCCGCTCAATGGGGCCAAAAACTGGACAAATTAGTGGCCAATTGGCTAGATTTCGACAAAAATGTTCAGCATTTAGAAAATTGGATCGTCAAAAGCGAAGAATCTCTCTCTGCTAAACCGGTCAATTTGAAAACGCCAAACGTAGACAAACTAGAAAAGGAACTAGCTAAATTAAAAGCATTTAATAACGAAATTTCTGAACAACAAGCTAAATTAATATCTTTAACGCAAAGCTCCGATAGCATCAGCTATAACATTAGCCCTGAAGGGGCAGCTGAAGTTAAGAATCAAGTACAAGAATTAAAATCTAAAGTCTCTAAGCTAGCCGACAGTACAAGAGCTAGAATTAACGAAATATCTGATGCTATATTGGTCAAACACGATTTCGAAACTAAGATCGCCGATTATAACAATTGGTTAGAGGCTATGAAAGCGAATATTAGTCAGTTGGATGAGATACCTTCAGATAAAGTAGATTCTACTATTATTAATATCCACACATTACTTCAAGAACATTCTGATAAGCAGCCTTTGTTCAACACCATCTACAGCGAAATTAAAGAAATAGCCGTACAATCTCCGCAGAAAGCTATGGAGCCCTTGACAGAAGAGTACTCTACTCTAGTGAAGCAGAATCAAGAGATAGAACACAAACTACAAGAAAAGAGAACCCAATTACAGAAATGGAGCGAGCTGTTAAACTGGCATACAGAAACCATGAACCAATTGTCGCACATCAAATACCAAAGCGACGCCGAAAAACTCAACCCCGAAGAACTTAAGAAACTCATAACCGAAACTGACAACGTACTGGAAAAGGTCATCACTTGGAAAGAGAATACTCAAACTATTAGCAAGAGCGATATCGTTATTTTGGATAAACAAACTGGCTTACCTAGAACACCAGAAAACGTTGTTAGAGAAATAGAAGTCACCGCCATCAACCTAAAGGAACAACTAGCAAACAAAGTCGATAATCTTCAAAATTTGATGCAGCAACGCAATCATTTCGCACAGTTGCAACAAGAAGCTACAGCAGATATAAACAAAACGAAGGCGCAATTGGTGGAAATTAACAATCAAGTGAAACATTCGAGCGATTTACCCAAAGCCGTAGAACAGTTGAATAATCTGTTGGAAGCCCAAGTGGCTAAATCAGCTATCAAAGATAAACTCCACAGCGAAGCCATGCAGCTAATGAAGAAAGACATACAGAATGTTTCGACCATACAGAATTCGTTATCAGAAATCGAACGCGGTTTTAACAAAGTAAACGACGATATCAGAGACGAACACTTGAAGCTGTCCGATGTAATTTACGCTTGGAACGATTTCCAGGAAGCTAAAGACAGAATCGTCACCGATATTGGAAAAATAGATAAAAGTATTGAAAATTTGGAACTACCCAATGACCTATTCCAAGCGACTGTAAATTGCGAAAAAGCCAAGAAAGCTTTGGAGGCCATTAAGAAATCCAGATCGGCTTTAGACAAAGCTGACTCCAAGGCGCAAACGGTAATTAAGAAGGCTGAAAATATACCGGGCGTTGAATCGGAAGTAAAGCGCGATTTGAAAATATTGAACGATGCATGGTCGAAGATTTATGAGCGAATTTTGAAGACTGTGCAAAAAACGGAATCGCAAGCGGCCATTTGGAAGCACATTGATGACACAAAAACGACATTGCTACAATGGTTGAGCGAGCAAAACAACGAGATTATTAAAGCGGCTGAAAAACCGAACGAAAAAGAGGTAGCAAATGCTAAATTGAGCAAGTATAGAGAAGAATTGCCCGCGCAGCAAAGGTTGTGTCAAAGCATTCCTCAAAAGATCGTGCAACTACAAGAATCTAGTGACGGCAAGGAAATTCCTACTCTGCAATCGTTAGTCACATTATTGAGCGAAGGATTTTCGACATTGGAAGAAAATGCCAAGCAGCTAGAAGCTCTCACTTCGACGTTCAATGAGAACGAAAAAATTATTAGAAAGAATATTAAAGACACCGGTAACAAAGTATCTGCTTTAAGAGAAGAGATAGTAAAATGTGAGGATCTATCCGGTGATAATATGAAGATACTAGAAAGATTGATAAAAATTAAAAGTCTTAAGCAAGAGTTACAAAATTACGATATCAATATTAAAAAGATAGAAGAAGACATTCAAACGATGAAAGTTAACTACCCCAACTTCGAAAACACGCTAACTAAAGAACAACAACTGTTGAAGAAACGATTTGATACGACAATCACTCATGCCGATAAAATTGAAAATTCGTTATTATCCTTCTTGAAGAAGTTCCACAATGAAAAATACGGTGCATTGCAGAGAATCATTAATGCACACAAAGAGAAAATCCAATGGTGTTTACCGGAATCAACGAGCGATAAATATAATTTGCAAGTGAAGCTTAACGCTTTGGAACCAATTCAAGCTGTACTAATAGACTGTGACAAACGGAAGCAAGAATTAAAAGATTCTATCGCTGTTCTAGAACAAATAGAAAAACCCGAATCCGTAAAATTACAAAAAGCCGAGTTAGACCACTTGTTGTTCGATTTAGAAAATTTGAATCAACAATACACCGATACCAAAAACATTCTTGAAAATAATATATCTCTACACGATAAGTACGAACAACTCTCGGAAAGCGTAGCAAACTGGCTGAAAGATACTGAAAATAGAGTAAAAGCGGAAAGCAGTTTGCAAATGGACATGAACAAAATAGACAATAAACTCAAAGAAATAACAGCCCTACACCAAGAAGTTAAAGATTACCAACAAGAAATAGACAAGTTGATACCACTTAGTGAAGAACTAACTAAACAAATGCCCGAAAGTAGAATTGGGCCGTTCGTGCAACATTTAAACAGCAGATATCAAGGTCTGAACAAATTCTTAGCTCACTACATCGAAAAACTCAACGAGCTTAACAAATACAAATCAGCTTACAAGACTTGCATTCAAGACGTCGAAAACTGGCTGGTAAAAGCCCAAGAAAAAGTGAACACTTTCTCTAAGAGCGCCAAAAAACCGAATAGAACCATTTTAGAGGAACTAAAGAACTTTGCACAAGAAAAGGAAGTTGGACAAACTTTGTTAGCCAGAGCAGTTGAACACGGAGAGGCTCTATTCCCTGGCATTACTCCCGAGAATAGAGACACAATTAGAGCAGAACTAAGAAACCTAAGAGACAAATCAGAAGTATTAATCGATAAAGTTAACACTATCTACAAACAGGTAGAGGCTAACTTAATGCAAAGACATTCATTCGATGACAGTCTTCAACAGGTTAAACTTTGGATTGATGATGCTGAATTGAAACTGGGCGATGAAGTAAAACTAGATGCCACTTTGTTAGACAAAAAGCAAACTTTACATAACTACAAGATCCTATCTCAGGACGTTAATCTCCACAAAACTATATTAAAGCAATTACAAGAGAAAATAGGTAATCTATCAGATGCTGACGCTGAAAATAAGCTAGAAGAAAATCTTCAAAAATATAATAAACTTGCTAACGACGTTGAAAAAAGGATAGAAGTAGCAGAAGAATTCGTTTCTAATCATGAGGTTTATAACCAAGCAATAGAAAAATGCAGAGATTGGCTAAGTGCTCTGACCACTGAAGCTGCACTCATTGTAGACGAAACATCCACAGAAAGTCCAGAGACTAAACTAGCAATAGTCGAAAACCTTTTATCGCAGAAAGAAGAAGGCGATAAAATCATCAATTCTTGCAAACAACAACTAGAAACTGTTTTGAAACAAACAGCTGCAGCTGGACATCCTCCACTGATTAACAACTTTGAAGAACAAGAAAAATCGTGGCAGAGATTCTTGGAATTGTGTCAGGAAGCACAGGAAAAGCTAAACGAAATTCAGAATCAATATAGTGAAGTTTCTAACATAATGGACGATCTAGAAAGCTGGCTTAAGTCTAGAGAAAATTTTGTTAAAGATCAAAGTTTGAAGAACACTGAAAATACCAAAAAAGCTCATCTAGAGAAATTGGAGGTATTAGAGAAGGAAGTACAACAGAAAGAACCCGACTTTAATAGATTTTTGGAATTGAGTAAATCCTTAGCTGTAGATGGAAGAATTTCACAAATACCCACTAGGTACCAATCACTAAGGAACGCTGTTAAGGAAAACCGAGGAAAATACGAAAACTTCGTTAAGGAACATCACGATTTTAATATTCAATATAATGAATTTTTACAGTGGCTAACAACTAAGGAAGAAGATTTACAAAACTTTTCACAGATAGTTGGGGATCTTACTGTATTACAATCTCGACAAAAAGACATCAAGGATTTAATAGACGAAAGGAACCAGAGGATATCAGAGTTTGAAAACCTAGTAGATAAAGGCGAAAAATTATACGCTCATACGTCTCCAGATGGTAGAGAAATCATTAGACAACAACTGAAAAACCTGAGAACTATCTGGGATACTCTTACTGAAGACTTACAAGGCGCTAGCAATAAATTAGAGCAATGTTTAACCCAATTTTCAGATTTTACCGCAACTCAAGAACAATTAACAAAATGGTTGAAAGATGTCGAAAAAGCAATGCATCAACATACAGAATTAAAATCTACCCTTCAAGAAAAACGTGCTCAATTACAAAACCATAAAATAATGCATCAAGAAATCACGTCTCATCAGCAGCTCGTGGCTCAAGTTTGTGACAAAGCTCAACAGTTGGTGGATCAAACTCAAGACAAGTCGTTAAACATCTATTTGCAATCTATTAAGCAGCTGTTCTTAAATATCGTCAGTAAATCAGAGGAACTTTTGAAGAATTTGGAAGAATGCGTAGACAGACATACCAGTTATAATCAACTAATCACCGACTTTAAAAAATGGATTGGCGATCAAAATGAGAGGCTACTAGAATTCGTTGATACAACCGGCGAAAAAAGCGAAATAAACAAGAGAATAGAGAATATTCATGGCATAAAGAGAGATAGTGAAACTAAAGGACCTCAATTACTAGAAAATCTTAAACAAAATGTCATAGCAGTCGCCAAAAGTACTGCACCTAAAGGCGTTGAAACTTTAAAGAGAGAACTCGCAACGTTAGAAGAGCTTCTTCAAAATCATTTAGAATTGATCAATAACACTCTAGATAATCAAAACGAAGCGTTGAAGCAATGGGATGAATTCGAATCAGCCTTGGAAGCGCTAAACCAATGGTCTAAAGCTGTGGAAGCTGATTTTAGAGATCAACCACTTCAAGTATCTTTGGCGGACAAAGAAAATAAACTGAAGCAATTACAAAAACAAAGGGAGGAAATTTCTGCTAAGGAAAAAGAAATAGATGACTTTGTAGATAAGAGTCATGCTTTATTAAAAACCAGTGGCTCGCAGAAAATTAAACAGATTACTTCTCAAATTAGTAATAAATTCCAAAATTTGCATAGTTTGACCAAAGATATCGTGAACAGATGGCAAAACATTGTCGATGACCACAAGAAATACAAGCAGAGGTTGGAAGAAACTTCTGCCTGGTTGGTACCGCTCGAAGAACACTTAAAGGCGCTACAGGAAGGGCATTTAGGAGACAGTGCTGAGGCTAATAACAGATTGCAAGTTTTGTTAACTGAAGCCGAACAGGGCGAGCATAAGCTCAATTCATTGTCGCTTCTGGGTGAGAGATTGTTGCCTGATACCGCAACCGACGGTAGAGATATCATCAGGAGCGAAATCAAGGCCATTAGAGATAGATGGGAGAATCTAGCAGAGAGTAAGTAACTAATTTCTAGTTTTTTTTTTTTGTAAAATATTTAATGTATGATTTTTAAGGAGTAAAGCAGCAACAGAAACTTCAAGAAACCCAATCTCTTCAACTTGCAAACTATCAGGATTTGCTGCAACAAGCGTTGGCTTGGTTGGATACTATTGAAAAGCAAGTAAAGATTGAACCAAGTTCATGGACGTCGATACAAGAAGTTAGAGGAAAGTTGCTTAAACACAAAACTACCAGTCAGGAGATTTTGGCGCACAAGAGATTTATTGAAGGTACGTGTTTATAATTGTAACTAATATCTTCTTGTGTACGTGCTATTATGTATTAAACGAGTATTGACAATCATGCTATCATTATTTTGTTTTAAAAAGTACATTAGTCGTTTGTCCGAATTCGAAACATTATCACAGTTATGTCTTGAAGTTCTTCTGCTTGGACCTCGGTGTTTCCTTGGTGCTAGTTTGCTTTATATTTCTGGGCATCTCAAACTCAGAATATTGACGAATAATAAAAATGTTCCAATTTCGAGTATAATAGTTGAAACGACATCCACACTTTTTGTATCTGCAGATCAATGTACTATCGAGTAGATAGATCTTCATTCACTGCAACTTTTAGATGTATTGTGAAAGTGAGCTATTTAGTGCATATTTTCTAGATTTGCCTTTTTTATTGGACTTCTCAATGGCTGCCTCGGGTTTTCTTCACCTAGGATTAGAAATATCAGCCTAGTCAAGTCTTGACAGCGGCACATAATGTGGATTGATGTTTTCTCTCCTTCCTCTTCATGTTATCTTGTGTTGGGTATGTGGTATTAATGCACTGTGACCTAAAAGATCTATTGTGTTCTCTTCTGTCGCTAATGCAGTGAGGAAATAGTCGTTGTCTATAACGACTCTTTAAATCCTATCTTCTTAAGGAAATGTAGGATTTGGAGTGGCTTCAAGTTAGGTAAATCGACCTCTTTTATTTGGTATGCACCTAAATATAGTGCTACACATTCAGTCAGAATGTGAATGGAGGTTTCATCTTTCTCACAGAATCTGCACTTACTATCTTTTACTACTTTGTTTACTAAGGTGTCCTTTGAGTCTGCAATGCCCGCTAAGGATCCCTGTTACAATGCGTAGCCTGTTCCTACTCAGGCTGATACTAGCTTCCGGTCTTTTCTGGTTATATTCACCCAGCATCTTAGTCTGCCATGTTGCAAATGGTTCTTTAATGAACTCTTTATTTCTTCTTGAAGCTATTTTTTAAATCAATTGCTTCTGTTAATCTTTGCACACGACTTTAACTATCTCACGGAAATATTCTGGATCAATCATGGTATTTCCATGGATCTTCTGTTTATTCCAATGTACTCCATAGGCTTATTAAGGTCAGTTTATTTTTACTACTTAGTTCTTTTAGATCTCTTAGTCCTATCAGTCCTAATTTAATTTCTGGTGTTGCTTAGCTATTATTTTATCCTAAAATACTGTAGCCTAATTTCGAAGGCAAGCGTATTTGTAATTTTCAATTTAGATCCATAGCTTACCGCACTGATTTCCTAATTATTGTTTTTTGAACCAGACTGATTAAGCCTGTATGGAGCCTGTTGCCCGTTTGAAAAATTCTTTTAGATAATTAATTTCATTATTTGTAAGAATCCTAGATTTCACTTCTTTCAAAATGATAGAGAAGATGTAGTAGTGACCCATTCTCTTTTAGCAAACTTTCTTCAAGCATACAAACATACATTGAGGATCTGTAGTAGGTATTTTATTGGCCGTTTCAGTCTGTTTACCACAATATGTTATTCAGCCAGTATTATATTATTTACTTACATCTATAAGATTGCTTTTTAATGTTTTATTTGATGCCAAATCTCTTACACCGACCAACAACTTTAATAAGTAGTAGCTCCTGTGAAAAGAGACATATTATGTCAAAGAAAAAAATAAACATTGAAGCAATCTTGATTGCCTATTTAATTGTCTATATTTTTTATAGGAGTTATAGAAAAAGCTCAAGCCTTGGCCCAATTGACCACGAGCAAAGACAAAAAAGCAGAAATCGAAGACAGCGTATCATCTATCAACAATCGTTACCAGAACGTACAAAAACTTGCTCAAAGCAATATAAAACAATTGGAAAACTGCTTAGAGGTCTACCAACAATTCTACGATCTACACAAGGCCCAACAAGACGAACAAAAACAACTGTGGGAAAAGTTGAACAGCAATTTGGATTATGGAGGCAGCAAACAAACATTGGAAAAGAGACTAAACTATATAACAGATCTCCAAGAAAGTCTACCCGAGAACATGGTGAAATTAAACGAGCTACAAACGTATATTGAACACAAGACAGCTGATCTACCGGCTAGAGCGCAAGAAAACATGCAAAGGGACGTTGATAATTTGAAGTTCGATAGAGAAAAGTTCGTTACGACTTTAGCTGATATAAAATCGGCATTGGAGAACAAGCTCAAGCAATGGGATGATTATGAAGTTACTATGGACAAACTGTTATCGTGGCTAGCTGATGCTGAAGTTGCTCTTAAGAGTTATGCTTTGAAGTCGACTTTAGAAGAAAAACAAGACCAATTTGACAAATATCAGGTAAGTCTTAATAGTTCTTAAATATTCTGAATTTTTTTAAAAATTAATGGTGCCTATATGTTTTGGAAAGTATTGTTTTTTAAAAGCATTTATGTATTTAGTTTATCCCCTAAACATTCATAGGAAAATCATCAGATTTTTCCAGATGGTATTCTAGAGATGAATTTTCTATATATCACTTTTCGCGGTTTTCCATCTTTGTAAGTCAAATTTGTTTAGTAAAGAAAAATGTTCAAGTAATTTAGACTTTAGGACCATGCTTTTTCATAATCTTGGAAAAAGAAGAAAATGTAGAGAAATACTCTGTTACCCAATATTTTCAATTATAAATTTGCCCAAAATGTGAGTAATAAAATATAGATAATCTGTGAATCATTGTTGACGAAAGCTATATTGTATCTTACACGTATTAATAGATGAGATTAGAAACATTTAAAAAGCTCGATGGTCATCGTAGTTTTCCAAAGCTTTACTAATTGGATTTTTCCTCTGAAAATTTAATCAGAAATCTAAAACAATCCAGCTCCAATCGCTCCAAAGTATTAGGCCTTATTCGACCTATTGCGCCCCCTTCTCAAGTATCTTTTTCCTTAGCTCGTTAACCAGCCTGCTCTTATATAGCAGATGGTAACATTGTCAAGAGTTGTCTTTTATATTGGCCAATAATCACCTAACTCAAGCCACTTTTACTTAATGCAATATCGGGCAATCATAAAGGAATTTTCATCTTCTTGTTTACAAATCCTATAATAGGATGTACCTACCTCTATCTTCATTATATGAAGGTGTTTGCGAAGTTGACATTGACCGGTTAGAATACGTAGGTTCAATCTTGTCATTGTCAAATATTTCTTAGTTGTTCCATTCTTCAAGTCTTTTACTATAACTTGGTGACATTCTAGTACTATACCTGATTTGATTAATAGTACTTCTCTACTATTGATAATGTAATGTTTTTATATTAAGCAAATACCTTTTATTTAGATGACGCTTTATTATTATGTAGGCACAACTAACCAGGAATACTATGATACAGATATTGCTATTAATTTTTGCCAATATTTTTATTGTTAGCTGACATGCCTTCGTCTTTAACTTTCACCAATATTGCTGTTGATAATTTATCTAAATTGGTAAGGGATATTACTTTCCAAAATTATATGGGTGAAACACCTAAAAACTTATTGTAATGATTTCTCAAATTCGTCTATAGGAATTATCTAGAGTGATCGAATCAAGAAAAATGGATATGAAGGAGTTTGTAACGGATACAGATAATTTGGAGCAAGTAAGAATAAACTAAATGTACAAAGTATCTTCTCTTGTAGTATCACTGTTCTTTACTGTATCTTTTCCTGTCTATACACGTTTACATGTAAACACGTTTTGGTCAAATAGAATGATTTTTTAATATAAATGCAATACCAGTAGCCTTTTCGTTTATGAAGTTTTTCCAAGGTAGGTACTTAATTAAAAACTATTTTTGCATTGTATTTAAAAAAAATCATGGAGAAACAAATGCAATAAATCATTCTATTTCCACCAAAACATAGCACAATTTCTTTTAATAGGTGATGGCACTCTTCTACTGGGTAGTTCTTCGTTTTCTGTCTATTAGATGTTAAATGTTTCTACCAAACTGTTATCTTTCTATCAAACTAACACTCTTATTAATTATTCTAGGCTCTGGCTTTAACTTTGAGGCAAAATGAACCCGAATTCGATAGACTATCTGACAGTTCCGCGGAGTTGGTACAAAGCAGTAGCGACACTAGGATTGCCAATAATGTTCAACAGATGCTATCCAGATTCCAATCGGTTCAAGTGACAGCTCGAGAAATACTCAAGAAGTGTGAGCAAGCAATGGCGGAACATAAACAGTTTGCCGACAAGTATCGGCAATGCGCGGATTGGATTACAGTTACAAGGAATAGGTAAGAAATAAATTTGGACTGCAGATCTCTATACATTAATTTTATCCTTCGTTCCCCTTTTTTTAGATTTGACGAGTGTGAAAAGAATATTCAACGCGCCTCGCGCCAGTCCCTTGAAGATCAAGCAAAAATAATTGAAGAACTATTCTCTCAACAACCAAATGCAACTTCTCTTCTTAACAGCACCATCGAAACTGGTGAAAAGCTTTACCCGTCAACGTCGCTCGAAGGCAAAGAAATCATAAACAAGCAGCTGCAAGAATTAAGAGATGCCATGGATACGCTTTTCGACGAAATAGCTAAAAGTGACAGAAACTTAAAATCGAAACACGTAAAGTGGCTAGGATTTGAAGAAAGCTTAGCTAAAGTTTCCAATTGGCTTAGAGAAACAGAAAAACAACTGCCACAAAATATTGAGTTAAAATCAACGTTGGAAGAGAAAAAAGCCCAGTTGCAGGTCTACCGAAATTATCTACACGAAGTGTCCACTCACCAACAGGATATCGTCGACTTGCGCGATAAAACTGACAGCTTACCAGAAAGAAACGAACATATTGATAATCAATTTACCAGCGTTTCAGACCAATACGATAAATTACAAAAGAGAGCACAAAACTTTGTCGAACAATACGAAATCATTGTTAGCAATCACCAACAATATGCTAAAGCCGTCCAAGACGGTCAAGATTGGATCGACTCTACTAATTCTAATATTGCCCATCTCAGTGACCTCGACTTAGACAGAACTAGTTTGCAATCGAATCTAGAAAGACTAAAAGGACTTAAAGCCTCAATTCGTGACGAGGAATCCAGGATACTAGCCATAAAATCTCTAGGAGACAAAGTTATCCCTGGTACCATTGACTACGGTCAAGTCAATATAAGATCTCAGATAGAAACGTCACAACAAGAATGGGCTGCATTGGTTTCAGCTTTAGATTCTGCAATTCAACAACTCGAAACCAAACTACAACTCTGGACAGAATACGAATCACTAAAAGACAAGTGTTTGCTTTGGATAAGAGACACAGACAACAAGTTACACTCGGTAGATCTTAAACCTACCGCCCAAGATAAGAAAACTCAGCTAGATGATCTCAAGAAATTGCAAGGAGAAATAAGAGCCAAAGAATTAGAGATTGATCAGGTTACCGAAAGAGCTCAGCAACTAAATAAGGGTCTAATGGGCAGACCCTCACAAATATCAGAACTGGGCGTTAAATACCAACAAATCTGTCAGAAAATTAAAGATTTAACTACGAGATGGCAACAACACGTTGCAAACCATCAAGATTTTGATTCGCAAGTCGAACAATTCTCAGAATGGATGGACGATATCAAAGAAAAGTTATCTTATTGCTCAGATATTACAGGTATTCCTCAAAAAGAACTTGAAACCAAGCTGGAAACAGTCCAGGAACTAGTCTTGCGTAAAGAAGAAGGCTCGTCTAAGCTCCAAGCTTTGGTCGAATTAGCACAAAATGTATTAGCCAACACCGCACAACAAGGTCATACAGAAATAAACGAAACACTTGCCAGGCTTCAGGAAGACTGGTCTAACTTAGCATCTTCCCTAGTTGAAACTAAGAGCATTCTGGATGACGCTCTAACCAAATGGGCTGAATTATTGGAAGAAATAAAATCTTTAGTAAAAACAATTGAGTTACTAGAAAGCCAATATGAGGATCTATCTGAATTTCAAGCTACGTTAACAGAAAAGAAGACCGTCTTAGCGAGAATCAAAACACTCGAAGAGAAGACTAGAGCAGAAAAAATAGACGTTGATAATTTCAAAGCTCAAATTGTTGAAGTTTTGCAAAAGAAGAAAGGAGGAGAAGCTACAACCGAAGCTTTGAAAACGCTGAATAAATTTGATGCTATAACTGAAAAAATATTTGTAAGTTGTTATATAACGTATTAATTTAAAATAATTTTTAATATAAACTTAATTTTCAGAAATTATCATTGGAAAGAGATGCTCAATACAAGGACCACAAAGTCTACAAAGAAGCCCATGACGAAGTCCAACGATGGATGACAAGAGCTCAAGAAAAAGTACCACAGCTGCAAAGACCTTTAGGAGAAAAGCTTACTGTGGAATCTCTTGCTGCACCTCTAGACCATCTATTGAACAAGAAAGCCCAAGGAGAAGTTCTATTGGAGAACTTAGATCACACAGCCCAAGTTGTTCTTCCTAACACTAATGACAAGGGACAGGAATTAATAAACAACGACATCAGGGCTCTAAAGGAAGCATTCGAAAGACTATTTAAAGATCTTAAACAACAAAGAGAACAATTGGATAACGTTTTATCCAACTGGCGGGACTACAAAGATGAATACGAAAAAGTCTCAGACTGGTTGCAACAAATTGCCATCCTCATCAAGAATCAAAAAATCGCTCTAATGTCTACGTTACCTGAAAAAGAAAAACAAGTCAAAGAAGTACAAGAGATACTAAAGAATTTAGTAGAAGGAAAGGACCAAGTAGATAGATTAAACAAATCTGCCAGCGTTCTGTTAAAATCACCTCTAGAATCGCACGTTAACCACCAACTACAACAATTAAACTCGAGATATCAAGTCGAACTTAGTCTGGCCAATGACGTCCTAAAGAAAGTTGAAACCAATTATGAACAACACAAAGAATATGCTGACAATCTTGATAAGACCAGAGCTTGGATCGACAACGCCCGCGAGCTTATTAGAGAGTGCTCGGAAGCCGTTTCGCATAGCAGCAAAGAAACCTTGCAGTCTCACCTCAACCAAATCCAAGAGTTATTACAAAAACGCGAAGAAGGCCAGAACTTAGTTCATTCCACGGTCAACTGCGGCGAAAAAGTGTTAAGAAATACCAGATCGGACGGCAGAGAAGCTATCAATAACGAACTGAAAGAAATACAGTCGGATTGGGAAAGAATCGTAAAGAAACTATCGACTACCAAAGTTAACTTGGAAACCGCTTTACTGCAATGGGCTGACTACGACAGCTCTTACAACCAGCTCCAACAATGGATAACCGATCGCGAAGCTAAGCTTCAACAAGTTACCGAGCCGAAGATCACTAAAACTGAAAAGAGAGGTCTTAGCAGTCTACCGATTGGTGACAGAAAAGCAACTCTTCGCGAAACCGGTAGTATCTTACAAGATATCGTTTCGTTCGAACCTATGATCCAATCAGTCGCTTCTAAAGCTGAAGATCTTAAACAAGCAGCTCCAGCTTCTGAAATTTCTACAAAATACGAAACTTTATCTAGGACAGCTCAAGAATTGTACGACAAACAAAAGGAAGTGGTAGAAAAACACGAAGCCTTCGTAGAAGCTGCGAATGATTTACATCAATGGATCAGGAATGCTAGGGAACGTCTCGGTAAATGTTCTGAGCCTACAGGCGATAAGGAAAGCTTGGGAAGCAAGTTATCTCAGCTTAAAGCCCTCAAAAATGAAGTTCCTGAAGGTCAAAAGAAACTCGAAATAGCTATAGATCTAGCGGACAAAGCGATACCTTTTGCAGCTGAAATGGATAAGGAAATTATGGAGGAAGAAGTGGGATTACTTCAAGAAGATTTTGATAATTATGTAGAAGAACTAAATCACACCAAAAGCTTACTAGAAGTGGGTATAGTAAAATGGACCGAATACGAAGAACAGTATCAAGATGCTTTAGAATGGTTATCTCAAACCGAAAAATTAGTCCAATCCTATAACAAACTACAAGACAGTTTAGAAGAAAAACGAGCTGTCTTGGAACACTTCCAGCTCCAGTTACAGAATTTATTCGATTGGCAAAGTGAATTAGACAAACTTAACATGAAAGCACAAGTCTTGCTAGAAACTTGCGCCGATACTAGAGTCAGCAATGCCATTACTCAAATATCTACAAAATATAACGCTATTTTATCTTTAGCCAAAGAGGTTATGCGAAGATTGGAGTTGCACTATCAAGAACATCAACAACACAATGCATTGTATCAAGAGATGCAAGATTGGATGGACAGAACCAGAGACAAACTCAACGGATGTTTGGAGATACCCAATACATTGTCTGAAGTAAATAACAAGTTACAAGTAGTTAAAAATATAAGAGCTTCGTTAGAACAAGGACAAAATAAGTTGAGGTACCTCCAAGAATTAAAAGAGCGAGTAATCATGAATACCGAGCAATCTGGAACAGCTAAAATCAAAGAAGATACCGAAAACCTCAGAATCGATATGGAAAAATTGTTGAACGACACACAAGACGCTAGGTCGAAATTGCAAGCAAGAGCTAATCAATTAGAAGATGTAGATAAGATATATAAGCAGTTACTGGATTGGTTGGAAGAACAAGAGAACCAAATACAATTTGACGATGGATACTTGAACGAACTTGGTGAAAAAAGAGCTAAGCTCGAAAAACTGAAAGCCGTACAAAAAGAAATCGAAGCCCATAGTGATTTGGTTGACAAGCTCAAGAGTAAGCTAGAGGAGGATTCGACACTTACCTGTAAAGATTACGAAAATGTTATCCAACGCTACAAACAGTTTAAACAAAATTTGGAATCTCTCGTTTCCAATCTACAAACAGAAGTTGAAGATCACGAAAAATACAAAGTGTCATATAATGCTGCTTGCAATAAGATCAGAAGAGCACAAATTGAATTACAATCGTGCTCGGATTTGCACGAAGAATTAGATAAAATAATCGAAAAGGAAGCTAAGATTATCGAAATTTCCGATTCTCTAAAGGAATGCGATGATCTGATTCACAAGACCATCGAGCTTAGTATCCTAGTAATGAAAACTACCGGAAACGAAGGAAAAGACACTATAAGAAACGAAATAGAACAACTTAACGCCGATTGGGAAGGTCTACAATTCATTTGCGAAGATACTAAGAAGTCTTTGAAGAATTGCAAAGATGCTTGGGAAGATTATAAGACTTGTTACGATGACATGAACGAATCTATAGATAAATACCAAAAGTGCTTAGATGAGAATATTGGTACTGAATTTAATTCAGAAGCTCTAGATACATGTCGAGCTCTATTGGACGAAATAGTCGCTTTGAAACCGGGAATGGAGAATCTTACAGACGTCTGCGAGACTCTAATAGAATACTGCGCCATCAGTTGGGTCAGAGATAAAACAGTTCAATTACAAACAAAGTACATTAACCTCCTTACGAACATCCAAAGCCTAGTCTCGAAAATAGAAAAGAACTTAACCGATCACACCGAGTTTATCAACACCAAAGCTGAGTTAGAACAATGGTTGCAAAACGCGCACACCGCTGTACAAGATTGTGTTGGTGCTAGCGATGAAGGTGCCATCAAAGAGAAGCTCGGAGTTATCTCTAACGTCTCAGCTACCATGGGAGAAGGACAAGCTCTATTAAATAAATTACAAGAAGCATTTGGTAAAGCGATCAACGTAGCACCTAGCGATAAACAGAAGGAACTGAGGGACGATATGACTGCATTGAGAAACAGCTGGGATCAAATCAATATGGACATCAAATCGATCCAAGCGCAGCTCAAAGCTAGTCTGGCTAGGTGGGAAGAGTTCAACAAAAACAAGCAAAAGTTTGAAACGTGGCTCAGCGCTACCGAAAAGAAACTGCAAGAGAAGACTTTAACTAAAGGTGAAGTTAGCGAGATAAAAACGTTATTGGAACGTTTCAAGAACTTGCAAACGGAAATTCAAAATAAAGAAAGCGATTTGGACAGATTACGGAACGAATCTCAAGAATTAAGTTCTTGGGTGCAACAACCGTCCGTTTCCGAACCGGTTAAAGAACTCGAAATTAGATACTCCAAACTGGTAGATGCGTGCAATGCCATTAAAGAATCTTTCGAAAAAGAATTGGAAGATTTCAACGTCTATCATCAGAAGCTTCAAGATACCGAAAAGTGGCTGTTGCAAGTGTCGTTCCAACTTATGGCGCACAATTCGTTGTATATTAGTAACAGAGAGCAAACCGAGGAACAGTTGGCTCAACACGTGAGTCTTTTAGGTGAGATTCAAAAATTCCAAACAACCCTCGATGACGTTAGAGCCAAAGGACAAGCTCAAATTTCCAAATACGAAAAGGAAGCTCCCGCAGTTAGAGACACTATAGAGAAACAGCTCAACAATGTTCAAGAGAGTTATAACTCTCTACTACAAACGGCTCTCCAGATTAAGAATCGTTTAGCGGATTCTCTGGCTAAATTTAAGGAATACGAAGATACTCTGGATAGCATTATGCAGAATTTGGATGAGATTGAACCGATAGTGGCTGAGGAAATTGAGAAACCCACCGAAAATTTGGCGGAAGCCAAGGCGCTGTTGGAAACTGCTAAAGTAAGAAAATATTTTTTATATGCCTATGGCTTCTATTATTGTCATTCATGCCTTTACCATCAATCAAAGTTTGTGTTAGTCTACTTCTACTGTTTTCCATTTTGGGGTCTAATTTCTATTTTAGGTTTATCTAGTGATCTAGTGATGATAGTGATTCTAATCTAGCATGTTTTTCTTATAAATATATAGAAAAAATTTTACGAAAAAAGTTGACGAAAAAAAAATGTTGATAAAAAAATGAAATAGAATATTGCCATTAGTGCAATTTTTCACAACCTCTTTTTACAAACAAGATTTACAACCAACTTATAGAAAATATATGTCATAAAATATTTACGAAAAACTGTTGATAAAAAAACAAAAATTAATTAGAATATTGCCATTATTGCTACTTTTCTGTAGAAATAACACTATTGAAAATTTTATTTCGAAAATAAAATTTTTATAAAAACAATTTAGTTTTACAATCTAGCTTTACTCCAGTTATACAATCCAATTTTTCAACTTACTTTTACAACCAACATAAAGAAAATATATCAGAAAAATGTCAATGAAAAAATGTTGACGGAAAAAATGTTTATGGAAAAAATGTTGATGAAAAAAAAATTATTAGAATATGGCCATTTTTCTGTTAAAATTTTTCTCTTGAAAATTTATTTATAAAAATCTAAATCAATTTTTTTTTTTAAATTTTTATGATACAAATTTAGTTTTACAAACGAGATTTACACCTAGTTTTTCCCCCAGTTTTACAACCTAATTTTACAACTCGTCTTCTATAATCCAATTTTTCAACTTAGTTTTACAACCAACTTATAGAAAATATGTCATACGAATGACAATGAAAACATGTTTGCGAAAAAATGTTGATAAAAAATGTTGATGAAAAAAATGTTAATAAAAAGATGTCGATGAAAAAAAAAAATAATTAGAATATTACCATTTTTCCGTTAAAATATCCATCTTGAAAATTTTATCTCGAAAATAATTTTTTTTTTCAAAAATTTTTATGAGAACAATTTAGTTTTATAACCTAGTTTTACAACGTAGTTTTACCTCAGTTTTACAACCTAATTTTACGACCTAATTTTACAATCCATTTTTTCTACTTAGTTTTACAACCAACATATAGATAATATATGTCAATGTAAAAATGTTTGCGAAAAAATGTTGATAAAAAAAAACAAAAATGAATTAAAATATTTTCATTATTGCCATTTTTCCCTCTTAAAAATTTAATGTCGAAAATCAATTTTTTATAAAATTTTTATGAGTTCGATTTAGTTTTACGAACTAGTTTAATAACCTAGGTTTACAACCCTACAACCTAGTTTTACAGAGCCATTAAATTGTAAGATTTTTGTTCTTTCTTTAAAGCTTTTTATTAGTCTACCCATGGCTCTTAAAAACAACTCCAATCTCTTTTCGATCTTTGTCCATTTAATTGGACTCAATTTAGTTTTCACTTCTGTCAGCTGTCAGTTAGATTAGATTAGATTTCGTTACGACTGTGAGTCATGTATCCTCCCTCACGTCGACATTTGTTTTTGTGTAATCTGCATCAACTACTACTGTTCTATGTAGGCTTTGTTACTATTTCCCAGCGTTCTCAGATTTCTGTAGGTATCATTTAATCGTTGTTTAGAGTACCTTGTCTAGTTTGCTCTTTTGTAGTAGACTCCATTAGAATAGGACGTAGTTTTACAACGTAGCTAATTGCCCTTGGATTTTCTTCTCCAAGTGTAAGAAATGTCAGTCTCTATAGACCTTTCCATTAGCACAATACGTGTATTGCAGTTTCCTCCTCTTCCTGACCGAATCGACAAGGTCTCTTCTGCCAGACCGATGTCATACATATGTTTGTTAAACCTACAATACCCCGTTAGTAAGCATACTAGTACTCTAGTATTTTTCCTATTATGGCTTAGTAGATACTCGGTGAGTTTTGGCGATGGTCCTTTCAAGAACTCTTTGGACTGTCTTTGGCTTGGTAAATTTTTTCACCATTCCTGAGATTTTAACATCCACTGCTTTGTGCATGTTCTGATAGCTGTCGTTGTAATACCATAGAACGGTTCTGCCTTTGAGGCTCTTCCTCAGGCTAGCGAGTTTTTTCATTGGCCTCGTATACATGCTAAGATTATTCTGTTCTGACTACCTAGCTCTGCTAGGGCTTTCAAACATTCCCACACAAGCTTTAAATATTTTTGCATAAAACCAAATGCTTTTATCGTCGGTTGACTATATGACAATGGTTTTGTCATTTACTTTGTGTCTTAATACCTCTTTTGTGCAGTGATTGCTACTATTTCTGCCTGGAATACTGTCGCATGTTTACCTAGGCTAAGTGAGATTGTCTTTGGCTTGGTACTATATATACCTACTCCTGACCCTTCATGGGTTTTGGAACCGTCAGCATATTATTATGATTTCTGGGTAAATAAGCTTTTTTGTCCAGTATACTTACTTTATATTGCTTTTGAGAGCTATATTTTGGGAGCATTATTACGTCTGAAGGCATTCCCATTATTTGGTCGTTTTCCAACTCATTATATAGCTCGCTGTAGGCAAATCCATGCGGACTGCTTATGGGTGATGAACCTTTGCGCAGTCTTTATGTAACGGACCTAGCTTGGTCTTTAATGAATACGTGTAGTGGTGTTAGGTTTAGCCTGACTTCTAAGGTTGCTGTTGGAGTCGTTTTCATGGCTTCCATGTCACTCAAACATGCTTGCCTTTGAATACCGTTGTGCTGTCAAATGGGTATAGCTTGTCTTTGGCTACCATACCACCGATCCGTAAATTATCATAGGACTTATGACTCTGGTATACAGCGATAGCGTACATTTTGGTTGTAGTCCGCAATTTTTTCTGCACAACCTTCGACATACGTTAACGGATGTTGTGCTTTTTTAAATGACCTTTTGCAAGTGTTGATTCCATGATAACCTGTGGTCAAACATGCCCCTTCAAGTATTTGGCCTCTTGGGCAAACGGAATCTCAATTCCTTTCAGTACTGGTGACTTCAGTCATGCCATTACCTTTCGTTTTGTGAAATTGACTATTGCAGTTTTGTGAGAGTTTACTGTCAGTTGTTGCCAACTACTTTTGTAAATATGTGTCTTCTTGATCTTACCCTATAGGCAGATATGCATTATCTACTGTATTTTTCGTATTCTCTGTTGAGTTTTCTGAACATATATCGTTACAGTTCGCAATAATTACTTGATCGATGGCCCAATTGGTAGAGGTGCCGACGGCTCTAGTCGAAAGGCTCCAGGTTCGATCCTTAGTTGATGCATTAATTTTTTCAGCTTTTTAAATTTTTCTTTGATTTCTTTTCACTTTGGAGATATGAAGTGTATTTTTCATAATTTTGTAGGGGCATTGAAAATTATATATTTCCATATTTTTAAAATTGAATTACTTGATTGTCTGCAAGCAAGGTTTGGTCTTCGATCTTTCTCGAATACTTTGGCTTTTATTTAGGTACCTAAAATACATTAGATATCTTCCTACCATATTTTATATCACTGTATACATAACGCTTTTAACGTTAAATGTAATTTTAAAATCATTATTTTCCTTTTTGCAGACGCTCCACAACAAGTTGCAGAGCGAAAAATCTCGACTGGCGATGGCAGTACAAGCTTGCGAAGCGGCCACTGCCTCTATCAGTCGTCCCAGCAGTCCTAGGGATACTCTTCCTCCTCCAGTTCCCATTAAAGAGCTCGAATGCCGAGCTAGACTTGAAGATGTCATCGATCAGGTAAGAGATACCTTATAATAAAAATATTAATATTTAAAATAACGCAATGCGAATATTTTTATTTTATATTTTATTAATTCATTATATTTTCTTCAACACGGTGTTATAACGAAAACTTTTCATTCAAAAAATTATAGTTTATAATTTTTTTTAAAACTCATTTATTTTAATATTTGGTTTTTGTTAGAACACCATGTATTTTATACTGTATTTTCCCGGACTATTAGTATTTTTCAGCGATTCATTCATTAGCAATTTTAGATCATCAGCTACATTATAAATGGTATTTTTTTGCATTTTAATTTTCGTTTTTTAATGTATTAACTGTGTTGTTACATATTTGGAATTTAACAAAAAAATTTTTGTTGAATATAATTTTAGTTCTTTACTCAAATTGTGCTGTTCGATTTTTCATATTATCGTATTTTCTTTATTTTTCGAACTTACTAACAACGTGGTAAAAAATTGTTTCTTTAAATTACATCTAGACAAAAACGTGTTCGAACTTCGAATTATTTCAAAACATTTACATCCATATTTCCAAAACCTGCCTGCAAATCCTTGAAGACACTAACGTTAACATCAGAGACAATATCGAGATTTTTCAAACATACTATGTATTGTTATTGCGATTAGAAAAATTAAAAAAATTAGGTTCAATTTTCTCTAATATCTATACCTGATATCAATCTCTGATATCTATCTCTGATATATCTCTGATATGTCTTTGATATATCTCTGATATCCCTCTCTGATATCTATCTCATATCTATCTCTGATTTCAATCTCTTATACCTATCTCTGATATCTATCTCTGATATCTATCTCTGATATCTATCTCTGATATTTATCTCTGATATCTATCTCTGATATCTGATATCTATCTCTATTATGTATGTATCTCTATCTGTCTCTATCTATCTCTGATATCTATCTCTGATATCTATCTCTGATATCTATCTCTGATATCTATCTCTGATATCTATCTCTGATATCTATCTCTGATATCTATCTCTGATATCTATCTCTGATATCTATCTCTGATATCTATCTCTGATATCTATCTCTGATATCTATCTCTGATATCTATCTCATATGTATCTCTGATATATATCTCTATATCTTATATCCATCTCTGATATCTCTGATATCTCTAAAATCTCTCATATCTCTCATATCTCTCATATCTCTATCTCTGATATCTCATCTCTGATGGCATACTTAATATATTTGGCAGTTTAGATATAATTCGAAATTCAACAAGTATTTGTTAGCGGTAGCAGTAATGAAAATTTGTTTTTAATAATTATCCTCCTTCTATTAGATACAAGCTCAGCTCAGCGACCTAACCACTGCGGTCGCAGAGTTTGAAGATCAAGAAAAACAAAGAACAGAACTTAAAAACTGGATAATAGCCCAAAGATCGGTCGTAAACGATTGGAAAAATCGACCTGTTAAGTTGAGATCCGATGCCGCTAAACAAGAAATCAATAACATGAACGATCTTTTGAATGCTATTGATCAGCGCAGAAATCTTCTGATATCAGAATTAGCTTCATCAGGAAATGAAAACGATGAATTAGAAAAGATGTTGGATGATTTAGAAAAAGATCTGATTGGTGTTATTGCTCAGAAGCAAGCTAATATGGAAGTAATTGATGATTACAGACAAAATGTACAAGTAATGAACAACTGGTTTGACAATCTAGGCAAAAGAATAGAAGCCATAGACAAAGGCTCGGGTCTTAATTGCGAACAGAAACAATCATCAATTCTTGAAATTAAAGCCGAATTTGACGACCAGGGTCCAAAGAGATTGGATGAAAATAAACGTTTAGCGTCTCAAGTAACAGAATTCGTCAATAATCTAGACTCCCAACAAATCGAAGAACAATCTAAATCCATTGAAAGAAGATACAATGATTTATCGAAGAGACTCCAAAGAAAGTTACAAGTGTTAGAAATGACCAAAAAAGGAATAGAAGATACAAGAAACGAAATAAGCGCAACTAGAGACTGGATAAAGGAAAAAACCGTAGGACTGAGAAAACCAGAACCGCTAGGTTTCGAAAGCAGAAAAGCTGATGATAAAATAAACGCCTTAAAAGACTTACTAAAAGAGGCAGGTACCAAATTAGTCCTTAAAGAAACCCTTCTTAAAAGGATAAGCAACATGACTAACGAACTAGAACCCAACGAAGCATCTCAAATAGAAAAGAGCCTCAAGGAGCTCGAAAATGAACAAGAACAACTAGTAGAACTTGTTAAATCAGAAATAGATAGAGTAACAGCAGCTGCCAATACCAGAAGAAACTTGGAACAAAACCTAGAAAAAGCCAAGGCTTGGTTAAAAGCGAAGAACGCAGAAATCAGAAAACTATCTGGTTATCTACCTCTTCAAGCCAATCAAGTAGAAAGTGAGATTACGCAACACACAGCGCACGAAGCGGACATCAAGCAGTTCAAAGACGGTGATTTGAACGATTTACTTAAACTTGGTAACAGCGTTTTGAAAGATTGCGATGAAAAGGACTGTGAACGTTTGCAACGTCTATTGGACGAGGTTAAAGAAGAATATGAAAATCTAGAACAAGAATCTCTACAAAAAATAACAGCGCTTCAAGATCTACTGAAAGGAAGAAAACAATTTGAGAACCAGATCGAGGAATGCGTTAATTGGCTAAAAGAAGCCGAGGTAGCTACTTCTTCAGAGATTAGAGGTAGCAACGTTGATGTTCTAGAGGAGCAGCTAATAAAGTATGAGAAATTGAATGACGATGCTAAACAAGTTAGAGGATCAATCGACAAAATCACTGAACAAGGCAAAGCAATCTTACCAACTATAACCGAAACCGATAAAATCACTTTGAATGACACCATTAATGGCTTAAAAGATCGCCATAGGCGAGTAGCTGATATTATAGAGGATCGAATGACCGGTCTCAAGCAAAATATCCAACAACTCAGAGATGCACAACAGAGAATTGAAGAAGCCAAACAGTTTATTCAAGACATTAAGGCACAACTTCAAGAACTTAACAAACCTCTTGGACCTAAAGTCGAAGACGTCCAACACGTCTTGTCCACTTACGAAAGAATACTAAGAGACATTAAAGACAATAAGGCTAAGTTAAATAACGTACCAGGAGCCAATATGGCTGAGTTACAGTCTCTAGTTAATCAACAAGATGATTTAATTAAGTCTATCGAAGACCAAATTGCTAGACTCCGCCAGCTGCTGCTTCTGAGAGAGCAATATATGGCTCTTATTACTGAAATTATGACCTTCATCACCAAATATACTGAAATAGTACGAGATATAGAAAAAACCGGTGGTACAATTCCAGAAAAGATAAAAAAATACGACGACGTTATTGTAAAAATTCAGGAATACGAAGCTCTATTAGCCTCAGCTTCAGATAAAGGTCAGCAAATAGCAGCCGATGGTTCAGTCCAAGACAAAAATTATATTACGGAACAAATTCAGTCTCTTAAACAGTCATTGCAAAATCTACGAAGAACGGCTGAGAAACAGAGACAAGAGCATGAAAACACGGCAGCGGAACATCTTAAGATCGCAGCTGAATTGGAAGAAGTTTTGGACTGGCTTCACGATAATGAAAGTGCTGTAAGATCGAGACCTCTACTTGGTAGAGATGTGGGTACCGTAGAAAGAGAATTGAAAAACCACGACGAATTAGCCCAAAAAGTGAACAGCCATTTGGATCAAATTAGAAAGATTCAAGATGCAACAAAACATGACGACAGTCTGCCAAGTTCGATCCAAGAGCAGCTACAAGAAGCTAATTCGCTTCTGGTTTCTTTGCCTAGAGAATTGGACGAAAGAAGAAAGTATTTGGAAACAAACAAAATTCTTAGAGAGGAATATGCTGTTCATAAACAGAAGTTGTACGATTGGGTCAAAGAAGCTGAAATCCGATTGGCTACTTATAAAGATGGAGTCGATTTTGAGAATATTCTACAAGAATTGGAAGAGCATAAAATTTTCTTCAGTACCGGTAAGATTAATCGATATTTGTAATGATATATCTAATATTAATAAATTCCATTTTATTTACAGAAGCCAATATTAAAGAATTGGTCAACCAAACCATCCAACAATCTGCCGATAAAATCTTCCCAAGTTTGACCTCGTACGAGCAAGAAGAATTAAGTCGCGAACAACAACAACACACTCAAACGTTGAAGAATACTTTGAATTCGGCTAAATCTCAGCAGGCGCAGTTAGAGCAGGACGCTGAAATGTGGAAGGATTTCTGCAACGCTTTAGAAAAGGTCAAGGCTGTCATCGCTAGGACCAGGTTTACTGATGAGCCTGTATCTACGCTTGCCGGACTGCACTTTAATATTCAGAAGATATCGCACGCTCTTAATGATATCCAGGTGAGTCATTTTTTAAATATAATAGTTACAGTGCTTTAAATAATTATGTTGCATCTATATATTCTAGAAGGCTTGGCTAGATTGAGGGTTATAAAACTAGAAAGTATAACTGAATCAGTGAGTCAAAGAACAGTACTAGTCCAAAAAATGACGTTTTGAGTTAAGATAGCCAAATTGATATTAACATGTGTCTCCACTCATTGAGATTAAAAACAGTGCAATACACACAATAGGTTCGGCAGTATAAATTACGTTGAAACTGAATGAGTGGAAGAACAGTACAAGTCCAGGACATGTACTGTTTTTACACTCATTACTGTTACTTTAAAGTTGATGTTTTTAATATTATTTTATTAGTTTCGAAAATCGCTCTGTGAGAGTTGATTCTGTTAATTTTTTCTTCAAAATAGAAGCAACAACACGTTTTAAAAAAATCTTTCAATATTTTCTGAACAGAGACCACTCATTCTTGCCCTGTGATAGGGATTTTAGAGTACTAAAAAGATGCGTTAGAAGACGCGATCGTGTATATATTCCAGAGAAATATGAGGAAATGATATCGTCATTTCGACAAATCAAATCATTTACCAATAAAAAAATTACCAGCGGAGATATTTTAGATTTTAAAAATTAGTGACCTCAGTTTTTCAAAAAAAATTGCAACTGCTGTAGGAAGCAATGAAGAGTTTTATCTGTCAAATTATAGGCAGTTTGTATAAGCCACCAGTAGATATGTGAAAACCTATGAATATATAGGTGGTCTAGTATCTCATAGCTTTAAACTAATGAAGCAAAATAAAAATTGTCCACCCCCTTCCTACCAAATGCGCATACGAACAACAAATTCCAATAAATGTAAAAAAAAATTAATGCCGTAAAAAAGGTAATGCAATATATTACAGGAGAATTGCTGGAATTTTACTATCACGTCACCTCCTGGCCCACATATGCAACCCATGAAACCGAAGAAGTGGATGCTGAGTGGTGGTTACGGCACCCCGGACCCCTCCTCCCAGCTACGTGCATGTGTTTTGCAATAATATGTTATAATAGTTTATTTGTCAACCTTGCATTATTTATAAAATAGAGGCTACTAAAAATAAAATATAAACTATATAATTGACTTAAAAAACAGTACATGTCCACAATATATTTTTTTAAATATTTCAGATAAAAAACCCTTTTTAATAGTTGAAACATAATCTCGTACACTCATCTTAAATAGCTTTACATTTGATATGTACACATCAAATTTATATGTCAAATAACAAAATAGTTTTTTAGTTTTTTTAATTTAATCAGAATGCCATTTTTGGACTAGTACTGTTCTTTGACTCACCGATTCAACTACATGTATGAACCACTGTCAAAGCTACTAAGTTTTTAAAAAGACCAGTCGCTATGATAAGATCGGCCAAAAAAAAACAACAGGTCCGCTCTCAGTCAAATTTATGGTGTTATCACACCATGCATAGTTAACCGATTGACCCAAATCTCATCTAAATAGATAACGTTACAATTTTGTTGGTGATATTGTTTGATGGCTCTTAAATAGCTGTGTCGCCAATGAATGGTGTCGTTTCGTTCTAACATTATACTTTTACGACCACACTTCACATATTCAAAACCAATATATTTCATCAATCTACTGTAATGAACCTTATTTTCATTACTCATCTTAAATCATTTCAGGGTTTGCAAAACCGAGATTTCGGATTTAATCTAAAATATATTTTATTTCCATAATTCTGAGGAACCCGGTATGCAAGCGTTGAACGTGATGTTTCAAACCGTGTATCGCCCCTCTTCTAGTACAAGAGTCGCGACAAGAGCATTCATGGTTCTGAGACCGCAGGTGAAAAATATTTTTGGGAATGGGAATTCGATCAAGGCCGCCGAATACGCGATAATTTGCCGATCGATTTTAAATTTTGATTTTTGCTTCCAACTAAATTGTAAACCAAATAATATTAGTAATTTAAATTCCGAATTCAGATAGTATTTCCTTTGAAGGTAATTTAGTTTCCGAAATTTATTGTTTTGCTTGATTTCATGTTAAATTGTAAAAAAAGCCTATTTTGTTCGTTTTTTTTCTTCACACCGTTTGAAGTAAAAACGAATTTTGAAGCCAGTTTAAAATAAATCGTTTTAATTTTGTTGTAGTTCGAAATATTTTCGAACCTGATATAATATTTTGTTTACGAAAATTATTTCTTTTCGAAATAATTTTATTACTTTAAGACACAGTAATATTTTTCAAATACGACTCTGATTTTGCTTGGCCTTATAATGGGAAACCGATTCAATAACCGAAGATTATTTTTAACTTTGTTTTGATCGTGATTTAACACGTTAACTGCCCGAAAGTTTGATGTTTGCCTTTTTTTCGTTTCTTCAGGCATACTGAGTTGAGTCTGCGCTATATTTCAAGTTTGGCTCGGCCTGGCTCCCAAACTCGTTTCTCTAGGGCCTTTCCTTCTGATATTTTAGACAGTATCTGAATTGTATGTTGATTCGACTGCGCGGATCTAGGAAGATTTTTCGGGGTGGGGGGAGGGGGGGTAGATAATTTTATCAAAAAATCATTCGTTTATTTAAAAAATACTGTACGCCAGCCTGTGCTTCTCTGTTCTTCATTTTCACAGTCATTTGTCTTTTTTGCTTTCTCGTAAAATCTCGTTGTTTTTAGATTACAATTTAGTAAATTCCTGGATTTGTTCGAGCAGCTCGGGGGGGGGGGGGCGTAATTACCCTATTACCCCCCCCTCCTTGTATCCGCGCCTGCCTTAGGAGTTCACAAAGACGTTTCGGCATCGCTCCCAGATACTGTTTCAATAAGACCTTATATCGAATTAGGGTGAATCCGGATTCATTCTATTTCGGTACTAGGTTATATGTCCATCGTGTGTCATTACTAGGGCCGTAACTCATCCATTATAAATCTACCCCGTTCCGTCGATTCGACTGGAACCCTTAGGAGTTCACGAAGACGTTTTGGCATCAGTTCAAGATTTCAGCTCAAAGAACTAGACATTTAGCCGGCCCGGCCTCTCTCCTATCTAAATACTGGTTAAGTCTGTTGATTGTTTTAGGGCCATCTTTTCCTCTTTATAAATTTTCTGATATTTACCGACCGTATCTAATTAATATTCGATTAGTAAATGTTCCTTCTTATTACAAGCCAAGTAATTTTTGGACGTATACCGTGTGTCCCGTGCCGTATGTTATTATTTCACCTTGGGCTCTTATAATCTAACATTTTCAAACATTGTCGTATCACCGACGACTTTAACGTCTTAAATTACCCTTAACCGTCTGATTGAGAGTTCCAATTTCAACCGTTTCTTGTAGTATTATTTTGTTCAGGGATTCCGTGAACCCGGGTGGGACTTACAAATATTATAATCAATATTGTTTAGTTTTAGTAAGAAAATACATGTATTAAATGTTCCTCTGGCTTATTATTATTAATACTAGTAATATTACACCTATCAAGAGTTACAGGCTTCCTACCTATTTTTTTATATACCTTTCAGAACCTAGAGTAGTGAACATCGTATAAGTAACGATTAAAGCCCGTTGCTTACACTTACGTTACCTGGCTATAATAACGTTGCCCCCTGGAAATTTTATTTCTTCACTGTAGCTACCTGAGTATTCTTTTGATACGACTTCAAAAGATAGTGGAGTAAACCACATTAAAATAATCTGGCGCTCGAGCAAGCCCGTCCGAAGGCCACAAGTGAGAATAGTTCCTCAATTCCAGAGTAATACTCTCATACTACATATGGTTCTTAACGAGAACGATGGTGAATTCTCATTCTATCGAATAATATTATAAATTGCATTCAAAGTTGGCGGAATTTAAAAAAAAATCAATGTGCAATAAGCTCTTAAAACCCTCATCGTATGTACGAGTATATTCACGATAATTTGACTGCCTTCTCCGCTTTTTTCTTCTTGCAGGAGACTTCAATTCGCCATTGTTTTGTTATTTCTTTTTAAAAAGGGCTGCAAATTTTAAATAAAACAATATTTTGAACAAATACAATCCGCAGAAACTTTTAATAAAAAAATAAGTCGGAGGTTCGTGGGTCTACAGAGTAGAAGCCACAAAATTCCAAATTTATCGATGAAAAGAAAAAACAATAAACAATTTCTAAAATTATTTAAACACGTAACAAGTCTGTAATACTATGACTTCACAGTTCACCGGGAGATAGTTACTTTTTACCATTAAATTCTTGACATTGGTAAATCACTATTCAAGTTTGTAAAGATCAATGTTTGTATGAACCATTAAAGAATGTTTATATAGGTATATTGTAGTACTCACAGATGTAGCCCTCGATGACATAAAATAGCATTCACTCACTTAAATATTAACAATAAAACAGGATACCTTAGGGGTTACCTCACCCTTTCACTCAGGAAGCTGGTAGACGAACCATGGTCGTTGTCGCAGCAAACGACATGCTATTTTATCTGTCTCTTAGCAAATAGAGGTTGCCAAATATCGATAGCACTATCGATAGTATTAATAGTTTTATTTTCAAATTCTCTATCAATAGTATCGACAGTAACTTTAACTATCGGCACGCTATCGAAGTTCTAGATATAATGGAAAAAGAAGAAATATATAACCTATAAAACTTTTATATCGTTGGCTAATTTCGATGTCTTTATTTTTCTGTGCTTGGAGATTCATTAAAAATATAAAGTGGTAAAACGACAACAATCGTATATTTGGAATTATTTCAAAAGATATGAGATTGGTAATATTTTAATTTGGGAAAACTGGTTATATACAGGGTGTCCCGAAATTAGACGATCATATTTTAACAGCGTAATCTACATCCTAAAATAGGAATAAAAGTTCATATAAACATAGGTCCGAAAACGTTCCGTTTTCGAGATACAGGGTGTTGCAAATGAAGTTCTGATGGCATATTTTTGTAAATATTTTTGAGATCTCATTTAACTCAAAATCGGCTGATTTT